GGGCGTAATTGCGGAGATTTGACGGGGTGGGGAGGAGGGAGGGAGGGAGGGAAGGGTAGGAGGGAGGGGGGAGGGAGGGGGATTGAGGGAAGGGTGGGAGGGAGCGTGGAAGGAAGGAGGGAAGGGTAGGATGGAAGGAGGGGAGGAGGGATGGAAGGAAGGATGGGAGGGGGGAGGGTAGAATGATTATGTATTGATAATGAATGAGGTTAATTAGAACAGTGAGAATTTGATAATAATAATAATGAAATTATATAATAATAATAATGAATAGAATAAATATAATGAAATTAGATTATAATAATAATACCTATAATACTAATGATGATGGTAGTAATAATAGTAATAAAGATAATGATGACGAGTGCCAACGAACGACTCGAGAGCGGGTCCGAAGGCGTCGTCACCCGGCGTCCGGACCGGATACGGACGAGCGTAACCCCTTCGCCAGGATGAGAGTGACGTCATCCCATCCGCGAGAAATTCTACAGGTGTTGAGTCACCGCTGACGACGACGATGACGACGACGGCGGTGCGGAAGGAGGGCGTTTCGTTAAATAACTTGCGTAATTGCCGTGAAATTTTGTATCCGGGAGGCGGCTGCGGAAGGGCGTCGAGGTGCGAAAACGAGGGATTCGAACGCGGCTTCTCTTGACGCGCGAAAGGGTTCGAACGCCGCTTCTCTTGGCGCGCGAAAGGGTTCGAACGCCGCTTCTCTTGGCGCGCGAAAGGGTTCGAAACCTCCGTGGAAATCGTAGATCGTCATTTGTTATCGATCTTCAGCGTATAGCTCGTGGGCTTTGGGGAATGGCCAAAATACGCATCTGAATAATGGATTGTAATGGCTCTAATGCATTTCACATATTCTTGCAAAGCAGAACAGGGGAGAAAGAGACAAACACGCACAAAGAGGGGTAGACATGCGCAGAGACAAACACGCACAAAGAAGAAAAGAGAAAGACTTTTTTTTTTTTTTTTAAGCTCGTCGTCAGGTGGAATATTGACAAGGGTCGGTTATCGCTGCGTTTCCTTTTCCTCTGAGAGAATTTTCTTTGTTTTTTTTTTAGCTCCTAAATTAGGTAACTCACTTCCACGTTTGGCGAAAGCTGTGGATGGAAGTTTTGCGTTGAAGTTTGATGCATTTAGGTCATTTTATTTGATTTTATAATATCGATAATGTTTTTTTTTAATGTTAAATGTTAAAGTTTGATGCATGCAAGTAATTATATATAAGTAACGATAACCCTATTCTCCCCTTTCTTTTGTTAAATGTTGAAGTTTGATCCATTTAAGTCAATTCCTCACTAACTTCACCTTGTTTTACATAAGTATCGATAACACCATTTCCCTTTTTAAATTAAATATTGAAGTTTGATGCATGTAAGTCATTTCATTGTTTATTTATAAGTATCGATGACGTCATTTCCCTCTTTTGTGTTAAATGTTAAAAATCATACATGTAGGTAAGGAGAACCAGATTCGTTAATTGAGTTCTTACACAACTCTTCATCGCATAACAACATGATCTCCTCACACCCAACATGACCGCATACCTCCCGTGTTTTACGAGGGCGAGAACACAAGCAAGGTCACTGCCCTTGCGAATCACGAACTGCACCCTAGAAAGAAGAATAAAAAAGAGGGAGGAAATGATAATGATAAAGTAGATAAGGATGAGTTATAATTCGGTAAACGTGGCAGATATTACGGGTGAAAAAAATTATTGGGCTTTTATTTACTTTGTCTTCTTGATGTGAGACGCCCTTGCCCAGGGGGGGGGTCGGTGGGCGGTGGGGGGGGTTGATGTTTTGTTATTGTTTTGTAATTTTCTGATTGTGGGTCTTGTTGTTATTGTTATCACCCTCCTCCCTACTCCTCTTTCTCCTCCTCCTCCTCCTCCTCACCATAATCGTTATCATTTTTGACCGTTACCCATCATTATAAAGACTTTTAAGTAGACGAGTGTTTTCTATGTTTAAACACACACGCACCACACAACACACAAGCAACGCGCGCGCGCGAACACACACACACACACACACACACACACACACACACACACACACACACACACACACACACACACACACACACAACACACAACATGCAGCAGAGAGAGAGAAAGAAAGAAAGAAAGAACGAAAGAAGAAAAGATAGAAAGATAGAAAGAAAGTTAGAAAGAAAGGTAGAAAGAAAGAAAGAAAGAAGGAAAGAAAGATAGAAAGAAAGAAAGAAGGAAGAAAGAGAAAGAGAGAAAGAGAATTCTGCGTATACGGATGGAGTGATTCCCCAGAGCGGGCAGGTGACTAACCCGAGGGGGGGGGGGGGGGGCACGTCGCCAGGGAAGTAAACATGGCGCCTCCATGTCTGTGTCTGGACGTTTTATTTTCTTCTATTTCTGTCATATTTATTCTTTTCTAGAATGTGTGGTTCAAGCGAGGAAGGAGAATTATTTTCCCTTTGTTTTTTTTCTCTGTTTTTTTTCTGTTGGTTTCTTTGGTCTTTTTTGTTTCTGGGTTTTTCTCTTTCTTTGGCGTTTTTCTTTTTTTCTTTTCATTTTTGATTGTTCTCTTTTTATATTTTCTTTTCTCTTTCTCTTTTTTCCTCTTTCTGTCTCACTTCTCTCTTCTTTGTTCGATTTACTGTTCTGTTCTCTCTCTTTCTTTTCTTTCTCTCTCTTCTCTCTCTCTCTCTCCCTCTCGCTCTCTCTCTCTCTCCCCTCTCTCTCCTCCTCTCTCCTCCCTCTCTCTCTCCCTCCCTCCCTCCCTTTTCTCTCTCTCTCTCTTTCTCTCTTTCTTTCTCATTCTTTCCTTCCTCCCTCCCCCCCTTCCCTCCTCTCCCCCTTCCTCCCTCCTCCCCCCCTCCCCTCCTCCTCCCTCCTCTCTTTTCCTCCCTCCTCCCCCCCTCCCTCCCCCAGGTGATTCCGAATTCCCGAAAGGTGAAATCATCCTCAGCTGCGGTTCCAGAGATCTCGACGAGAGTTTCGACGACTTTGTCCCGCCCTTGGCCGCTCCCCCAGTCGGGCGTGACCACACGGCTGTGCACGGGGCGTTGGTTTTTTTTTTTTTTTAGTTTTTTATCTTATTATTTTGAATTTTGTTGTTTATTCTTTGTGCTTTATTTTGTGGGATCGTAGATTCGTTTTGGTATCGTTTTTTTTGTTGTTTTTTTTATTACGGACTTGGGTATTTCTGTGTGTGTGTATCGTTCTCGTCTAGCAGTCTCTCTCTCTCTCTCTCTCTCCTCTTCTCTCTCTCTCTCTCTCTCTCTCTCTCTCTCTCTCTCTCTCTCTCTCTCTCTCTCTCTCTCTCTCTCTCTTCTCCTTCCTTCCTTCCTTCCTCCTTCCTCCCTCCTCCCTCCCCTCCCTCTCCCCTCCCTCCCCTCCCTCTTTTCCCTCCCCTCCGCTTTCCCATCCCTTTCAATCCACGCGCGCTGCTAGTGGACGGTAACCCCGGCCATTTGCACACGGGGGGGGGGGGGTAGTTGAGAAGCAAAATCAACAGACAGCCTGCCACAGCAACGAATATACATTGTGACAAATGGAACTAGATTGAATTATTAATTATTAATCTGTGGCTTCGCTCTGCGGGGTGTGACCGTCTGTGGGAGGGATTCTGTCAGAGAGTTCGATGGTTTTAGTTGAGAAACCTCTTTTTTTTTTTCCTTTTAAAGGTTGGAGAAGCTAAGAATGCATTGAAATAAGATTAAAACGGTACCTGAGAAGGGAAATTGAGCAGATTTTTGTGCTCGATTCGTATGAAAGGCTGACCTTCTGACGGATCCACATTACCATCAAATTGTGTCTTTCATTCATCTGGCTGAAGGGAGTATGGCGTCAGGACTTCTTCCTCTCCTGCATTTTTCTCCTTCACTACAGTCCCTCCTGGTGCGAGACCCGACCTCTCGTGCGAGGGAGTGTCCCGCTGGCAACCGTGCTAGGGTCAGGTTGGGTCAGATCCCAGCCCGAAGCCTTGTTACAGCTCCCCAGTTCGCCCCTCAATAGTTCCTGTCAGTATTTTGGGGACATTCTTTTCACTGGAGATTTAGGTTCTTGTTGGCTGTAGCGACGTTGGGATTTAAGTTGTAATTAATATGATGTCAGGCGGATGCGATAGGGTGTGCTGGTCCCGTTGTCAGCGAAGAATGCCAACTCTCCTCTGGTATTTAGTGCCAGTGAAAGTGTTTCTTCGGGTGTTTAAATACAGTTATTTTGTCTCCCGTGCCGCCGTGATGAACGCACGTAATTGCCTCATTAATTAACAACCGTTAGGGGGGGAAATTGCACGCCATCTTGCAAGACAATGCGACGACTTAGGGGCGTGTTTGTGTGTGGTTTACCTGTTGGTGTTAATAACCTGAGGCCGGTTTCCGGATCTCCTCCAGTGGCGGGAAGAGGTGGCAGTGACTGGCTCTTTCTCAAAAATCTACAGTCGTTTTTTTGCAGTTTCGTGACACGCCGTTCTGCAGACTGCGAAACCGTCTCTTTGTGTGTTGGTGGGACCGTGAAGTTGTAGCCTCTTTAAGTGATATACAACCGTACCATTTTCTCCTTCATCTCGCGGGTTTTATTTAAAGGTTTTAAATGTGTGTTTTTATTTTTCGCGAGGTATTGCTTCCTGTGTTGATTCCTGTGATTTTGCCTCGTGTTTTTGTTTGTTGGAATCGTTTTTTTAATTATTATTATTATACTCTCATTCTTATTTTTATTTTAATATTTAATATTTATCTCTTTATGTATTTTTATCTTATATTAATATTTATCTTATATTGTCTGTGATTTTGTCTCGTGTTTATGTTTGTTTAGTGTCGTGTGTAATTTTTTTTTTTTTTTTTTTTTATTAATCGTTGTTATATTATTATTATTATACTCTCATTCTTATTTTCTTTTAATATTTTTTCTCATGGTGGTAATTTCTTCTCCTTTATCACTCTGTCTCGCTCTGCGTCTCTTTCTCCTATTTTTCATCCCCTTCTAAAAGGTGTCCCTTCCTCTCCCCCAGAACGCCGTCACGCACAACTCCCCGACGCCCAAGACCAAGGTGATGCTCGAGTGGGAGCCTCCCTCTGACTTCGAGGGCGACGTCGTCTTCACGTAAGTAGTGCTGCTCTTGGGGTTTCGGAGGTCTGAGTGTCAGGACCTTTTTTTATTTTCTTTTTTTTATTGTCTTTATTATTATCTATTTATTTATTTTAGGACCTTTCTTATTTTTCTTTTTTTTTATTTGTCTTTTATTATTTATTATTTTTGATTGTTTTATTTTTTTTTTACTTACATGAGGGAAGGAAGTTCTTATTTTTTTTTTTTTTTTTCTTATTATTTATTATTTATTTTGTTATTGTTTTATTATTATTTCTTTTCTTTTTACTTACACGAGGGAAGGGAGGCGAGCCGCATCGTCGTGTAAGTATTGTTGGTGTGGAATTCATGTCGGAACAAGTTGCAAAAGGAAGGACGAAGGGAAGAACAAGAAAACACACGAGTATCCCGAAGGCCTTCGACATATTCGTGTGTTCTCTTGTTCATCCCTGTTCTTCTCTTGTTCTTCTCGACGGCGTGGAGTAGGTGTGAATGGGGGGGGGAGGAATAACTCCATGGCGCTGCAGGTACGACGGGCTTCTCAACATCACGTCATCAGGGTTCATGTCCTTCTCGTGAAGACGTGACATCGAAGCGTCATTTGGTTGGCTTGTATTATCGGATTTTTAAACTCATTATATTCATTATTATTCATATTTGTTATGCACTTGTCAGTTGTATTATCGGATTTTCTAAATTAAGATATTCATTATTATTCATATCTATTATGCATTATCGTTATACTTGAGGAAACCCCGCGAGGAACTTGGTCTGGAGTGTCCTCAGTAGGGAAGCTTATATAAATTTATTGTTTTATGTTATGTTTACCTTTCGTATATCTGGTGTCGTGGCGTATCTATGCGTGTGAATTATTCATAAGGAGAGAGAGAGAGAGAGAGAGAGAGAGGAGAGAGAGAGAGAGAGAGAGAGAGAGAGAGAGAGAGAGAGAGAGAGAGAGAGAGAGAGAGAGAGAGAGAGAGAGAGAGAGAGAGAGAGGAGAGAGAGAGAGAGAGAGAGAGAGAGAGAGAGAGAGAGAGAGAGAGAGAGAGAGAGAGAGAGAGAGAGAGAGAGAGAGAGAGAGAGAGAGAGAGAGAGAGAGGAGAGAGAGAGAGAGAGAGAGAGAGAGAGAGAGAGAGAGAGAGCGGAGGATTTAGAGAGAGAGAGAGAGAGAGAAGAGAGATGAGAGAGAGAGGAGAGAGAGAGAGAGATTTATTTCAGTGTTGGTAGAGTCCTTGTTGTCGTGTCGAGCCATAAACCGCCGTCAGATATTTGAGAAAGCAAGACAATTTCGGTGTTATTGGCTGTCAGTGTCCGTCTCTCTCTCTCTCTCTCTCTCTCTCTCTCTCTCTCTCTCTCTCTCTCTCTCTCTCTCTCTCTCTCTCTCTCTCTCTCTCTCTCTCTCTCGTCTGTCTGTCTGTCTGTCTGTCTCTCTCTCTCTCTCTCTGTCTCTCTCGTCTCTCACTCTGTCTCTCTCTCTGTCTCTCTCCTCTCTCTCTCTCTGTCTCTCCTCTCTCTTCTCCCTCCCTCTCCCTCTCCTCTCCCTCTCCCTCTCCCTCTCCTCCTCCCTCCTCTCTCTCTCTCTCTCTCTCCCTTCTCTCCCTTTCTCTCCTCCCTCTCTCCTTCTCTCCTCCCTCTCTCTCCCTCTCCCCTCCCTCTCTCTCTCTCTCTCCTCCCTCCCTCCCTGTCGTATCTATGCTCGGTTGAAAGTGCTTGCGTTCAGCTGACATGCTCTGAGCTCGATAGATGTGCGTGCAAGCAATTTTTTTTCTATCCAAGCTGAATTATTTATTCACTCTTGACAAAAGTTGAGTTTGCGTTCTGCACCAACATGAGATTGGGGAAAATGCAGTATGATGAATGGATATGTGGCAGCGTGTTGCCGATATGCCGCAAAAAATGAATATGTATTTGTCGTTCATCCAGCGTTCGAAATGTATTAAAACATACATTTAAGTGCTCATTTTTGGTCTTGCATATTGTAAACATTTGCGAAGTCCGTATTAAGTAACATCACACGTCGACGCCATCCATTGTTAAACGGTATTTGCTTCGTCCTTTCGTTATGCGTTCGGTGTTTGGACTTTTCATCACCCTCCCCCGCCCGTGCGTGAGGCGCCCGTGCGGCAACAGAGGCGTGATGTCGAGGTAGAGAGAGGCCGCAGGAGAGAGAGAGAGGACGGGCGTGTGAGGAGGCAGGACGGGCACGCACCGGGTCCCGCGCCGCCCGCCGCCGCCGAAAGTGAAAGTGGTTCGTCTCACACCGTTCCTTCTCTTCCTCTCTTCTCAATTTTTTTTTCATTCGTCTGTTCTACCGATTCGTTGCTTTTTTATATCTTCTTCCCTTTCGATTTCTTATTTCTTCTGACTTCTCGTTTTCTCCATTTCCTCCTCCTACTAATTTTCTTTCCTCCTCTTGTGCGTCCTTTCCATACTTCTCCTCCTCCTCCTTCCCCTCCCATCTCCACCATCCTCAATATCTTTCTTTTTCCCTCTTCAAACTTTCTCTTCCTTCCCTATCCCCATCACTCTCTACGTCTCCTCCTCTTTAAGTCGCTTTTCATCTACTTTCTCCCTTCCCTCATTCGCCAGTCCCTCTCCAGCCGCACCCCCCCCCCCCGCCCCGTCCACCACCATAGAAAACGGGAGGAATTGGCCAGCGTGAAAGGCTATTTATAAAAGCATAAAATTCCATGAACGGTCTTAAAAAAAAAAAAAAAAAATCTGAGAGCAGAAAGCTTCGGCACCGTCTTTTATTTCGTTTTTTTTTTTTTTTTTTTTTTTTTATGGCTTATGCAGAATGACAAATCTGGTGGGTTGTTGTACCTGCCGATGGTGTAGGGAGGTTGGTTGCGCCTTCGTTGTTGTTGTTGTTGTAGTTGTTTGTTGCGGTGGTGGTGGTCATTTTCTTCTGTTTCTTTTTATTTATTTTCATTCTTGTCTTCCTCCTTCATTTTTCTTTTTCTTTTTTCCTCCTGCTGCTGCTCCTCCTTCTTTCCTCTTCTTCTTCCTTCTTCTTCCTTCCTCCTCCTCCTCCTCCTCCTCCTCCTCCTCCTCCTCTTCCTCCTCCTCCTCCTCCTCCTCCTCTCCTCCTCTTCCTCCTCCACCCCCTCCTCCTTCCTTCCTCCTCAACGCCCCCCAACGTGACAGGAATCCAAGCTTTAGAATGAACAGAAGACACTTAATCCAATACCTTTATCAAGGAATCCACATCCTCTCGAGACTTTTTCTTCTTCATCTCCAAAGATTACTTCGACGTGCATCTCTGATCCTACCTTAGCAGCCGAGGTAGCAATTGCACACCTGGGGTCGACCTGGAACTTGCCGAGGTCCGCGCAGTGTAGGCCGGTTGGGAGAAATAGATGAAGTTAGTGGTTATGTCTCTGGCTTGTTGGCTGTTGCATGCATGGGGGGTTTGTTTACGTGTGTGGGGGGGTGGGGGGGGTGGTGGGGGGGGGTTGTGTGTGTGTGGGGTGGGTGGTGGTGTGTGTTTGTGTGTGTGTCTTATGTGTGTATGTGTGTGTTATGTTGTTTGTGTTGTGTGTCTTGTGTGTGTGTGTGTGTTTGTGTGTGTCTTCTTTATTGTTTTTTTCTTTCTTTCTTTGTGTCTGTGAAGAATTAAAAGGGATTTAAGTACGTATTTAATTTTTTTTTCGGTATCGTGTGCTTCTCTGCATTTGCAAATTATTACGGATGTCAATTTTAAATCCATTTTATTCTTTTTCTTTTTCTCTTTCTTTTATCCTTTCTTTTCTTGAGCAAATCCGCATGGAGGATTTTCTAAACCGAGAAAGTTTACTGGCGTTCTTGTATTTTCTCCTTTGTTATTATTTCCTCTGTTATTACTTTCTCCTGATATATATATATATATATTTTTTTCTTTCTTTCTTTCTTTCTTTCTTTCTTTCTTTCTTTCTTTCTTTCTTCTGTGGACGTGACCAAGCGAGAGAGAAGCGTGAAAATTTCAGGTGATGCTCAATCTACTTGCTTCACTGGATCGAGACAAGACCTGATAGTATGTTTGAAGAACATGGCTGACCTACATGGCGACTGAAAAGAGAGAAAGAGTAAATTTGTTTGTTTATTTGTTTATTATTATTATTGTTGTTGTTATTATTGCTGTTATTATTATTATTGTTGTTGTTACTATTGTCATTATTGTATTATATTATATGATGATGATGATTATGATGATGATGATTATTATTATTTGTTATTTATTGTTATTATTAGAAAAAAATTAACCGTTTTTATAAGAACATGTATGACCGTACATGACGAATGAAAGAGCAAATGAGTAGATTCAATTATTATTATTATTATATATTATTATTATTATTTATTATTATTATTAATTATATTATTATTATTATTATATTATTATTATTATTATTATTATTATATTATTATTAATATTACTGTTATTAATGTTATGTTATTAATTATTATTATTATATTATCATTATTCATATATCATTATCATTATCGATAGACAAAATGCCCGTAATAAATGTTTTTTTGGGGTTAACTTCAAAGGAAAAGTGGTTTCTCGGTTAACGTCGTGAACCGAGATAAAAGTCTCCTCCGTGTGAATGGGCGAGAGAGCAAGCAAGCATAGGGCAAGCAGAGAGACAGGGAGACGAGAAAACACTTTTCGGGTATGGTGGGGGTGTCGGCTGGTTTTCTCCCCCCCAAAAAAAAAAAAAATAATAATAATAAATGATAATAATAATAATAAATTAAATGGGAGAATCTCACAGATGGTTTCGTGAGATTTTGATGTGGGTGTAGGAATTGGAGGAGGAGGAGGAGAGGAAGAGGGAGAGGTGAGGTGGAGGAGTGAAGAGGAGGAGGAGAGAAGAGGAGGAGGAAGGAAGGGAGGAGGGGAGGAGGAGGAGGGGAAAAGAAGAAGAAAGAAAAGAAAAAATGAGAAGGAGGAGGAGGAGAAGGAGGAAAAAGAAGAAGGGAAGAGTAGAGGAGGAGGAAAAAGAAGAAAAAGCACACAAATTACGCGCGCACGCACACACACGCACACACACACACACACACACACACACACACACACACACACACACACACACACACACACACACAGAGCACAGACACGAGAGAGAGAGAGAGACAGAGAGAGAGAGAGATAGAGAGAGAGAGAGACAGAGAAGAGAGAAAGAAGAACCAGAAGAAACACAAACAAAACCCTTTTTACGCTCGTATCCTCTCACATGTCCAAGATGGCTGACCCCAAGAGACACCTTATCCGGGAACGGTGGTCAAGGATCTCCCCCGGTGTGAGTTACGCCACGGGTCGCCATTTCCTCTTTCGTGTTCGTGGTCGTTTAATTTTTTTTTTGGGAAGGGATGGTAGGGATCGGGGGAGGGGGGGGGATCGGGGGGAGGGGAGGGGCGTGGGAGGGTAAGGGCATATGGGATTCGCGTGTTGTTTTTTTCTCGAAGAAGGATGGTTAATGTGTATTTCGTGTGTGTGTGTGTGTGTGTGTGTGTGTGTGTGTGTGTGTGTGTGTGTGTGTGTGTGTGTGTGTGTGTGTGTGTGTGTGTTGTGTGTGCGTGTGTGTGTTTGCGTGTGCGCTGAGGACATTTTCAGAAATAACACAGTAACTGACAGAGCAAGATCGCCCTTGCCACCTTACAAACCGCCCATAAATATATACTTCAGTAAAATCAACTCAACCATAGTTACTCCAACATTGCTAGACGATAAATCACAAATTAAGACATGCAAGACATCCCACTCTACTTAATCTTCGTATTAGACAGCATAAATCACAGCGAGAGAAAGAAAAAAACTCGTTCTCAAGAGTTTAAAAATAACCCCAAGGGTACAGATGCGTCCTCCACCTGGGTTAAGGATCACCTGGGGGGGGGGGTCGAGGTGTGCGAGAGGGGTTCCTTCCGCCTTCCTCGTGGGGGGACTCAGGGCCTAAAACGATATTTAATTGATGGTTCTGGGTTGTCATTGTTGTTCTTATTGTTATGAGTGGTTAGTATTTTTTGTGTGTGAATTTTTGTGGTTGTTGCTGTTGTTGCTAAGATTATGCTTGTGTTTGTAGTTATTACTGTCGTAATTTTCACTATATCATCACCACCGGCAATAGTATCTTTCTTATCATCATTGTTTTTATTATGATCATCATTTCCGTTACTGACTGTTGTTATTATTTTAATACTTATTATTGTTATCATAATCATTATTATTATTATTATTAGCTATTGTCGTTCATGGCGGGTGACCATGTGGTCTCAAAGCAAGGTCACACAAAGGTGAATCTCGGATGACCTCTGAGAGATGCCAACCGGAAATTTGATGCCGACCTTAAAAAATATATATGAAAAGTTGTCGTAAATGAAAGTTTTATATGTAATTTTTACTCTCGCGATAAAGAAAAAAATCAGGCAATAAAATGTAATTTTTACTCTCGCGAGAATTGCTGGAGAAGCTTCGAGTATTACTAATCAGACAATAAAGATTAAAAAATAAATAAATGGTGGACTAATATAAGATGCTAGCAACCGTCCGGAGATGGAAATTTCTCCTAAAGGCCATCATCTGAGTTCCGGTTTTGTGGGAAAAGTAGTTATTAATGCTCCCAGGTACCATTAGCAACAACCTCAAGATGGCAGCCGCATTGCAGAGCCGATGGTTCAAGAGAGTGATATAAAGATGGTTATTTAGTCGTGACCGCAGCGAGTTTCGTGTGCTGAGTGGGAAGACATTGCTGGGTGACTGCAGGAATTTTGGGGCTGGGAGGAGAGGACCTGGAGGCCTGGGGGGGATGTGGCCTTCACTTCACATCGCAGGTGGTCATGATTGAGGGCGCTGTTTTTAGTGAATTACATATTGCAGGACATTCTAGATTCCCTTGCATCAAGCGAATGTTGGGAGGACATGTTTGCGTGAATCAAAAGAGAAATGAAGAATTTGGAGAGCTTCTGTTGGGAAGTGAGCGTCAGACACTCTCTCTTTCTGCCTGTCTCTTGTCTCCACTGATACACTAAAACTCTCTCTTCACTGATTGGTTTCCAACATGATAGCAGGTTAGGGGAGGGAAGGGGAGGGAGTGGGGAAGGAGGCCGTCTCTATATAGGCGCTCCTGCCAACCTGCACCTCTTATCATTAGTTTCTAAAATTAAAAAAAAGTCTTTTGTACAATACGTTTTTTTTATGAGTGTATCCTTGCACCACTCGATTCCTTGCCACCCACTCGATTATTCTTGCCATTGGTGGAGTTCAGAAAAAAAAAAGAATAACTTGATCACCCGCATCTGGCAGAGTTGTTCAAGCAAGGTTCAGGGTATTAGGTTTTCCTGCGTTTACTCGATCTCTTGGGAATGATGGGTATAAAAGAAGATTCTTTTTCATTTGATTCCTTAGCGCCACTAGTTTCGGGTTATCCATCTTCTGGCAAACTTTCTTTGTCACTGTAATGAATGCTTATATTACGAAATATCTTATTAGCAGGAGGTATACACCCCTCCAAACTTTTACTGAATGGTGTAATTCTCATGTAGGTGTCATTGAAAGTCTTAAATAGAGAGCAATAGAAGATTGGAATTTGTGCTCATTATTTACAATTAGTGTCTACCTGTTATATAGCCACTTTGGTCTTCTATCTCTAGTGATGACTTTCCATTGCTCACATGTCTTGTGAAGTGTGGCAGATGGTGCTCCCTTAAAAACATTGTACATTCATCTGTGTCTGCAACACAACCTGCTTTTCTATTTGTTAAGTTTGAGAAATATTAGTCTATCTAGCAAATGTCTGATAATGCTTAGTGCTTAAAATGTTGTTTTTCTTTAGCATTATATTACATATACATAGTATGTGTTGTTATTTTGCATAAAGGTATTCATCTTAGGATGAGTTCGTCCTATGTTTATGAATCTCTATAATTACATAAGTGATTTATACAGTATTATTGCTTGTCAGTATTTAGTTACACTTGTATATCAGTTGGCCCTCTGGTGACTGCTTAAAGTTTCTGTTTTGCATTTTGTCCTTGTTGAAGATCAGGTTTTGATATTAACATTTGAAAGAGCAGATCAGAGTACAAGAAAATACAGTTGGAGCATACTCATAAATCAGTTTTTCTATAAGGATATTGTCAAGTGATGCACCAGAAACATTTATGCTAATGCCTGTCTTTATTTCCAGGGGATCCTTCGTGAAGTCATATGACACCTTCTGGGCTGGGGTTACATCAGAGAAAGTGACTGTCACCAAGCGTTCCGTTCCTCAAGACTCTGGCACACCCACTACAGCAAACACATCCCCTTCCACAACCACCACTACAACTACAACCACAACCACAACCACTACCACAAGCCCAGCTCCTGTAAGCCCAGCTGTAGATACAGATCCTGCAGAGAATGCCGGTGATGTTGTCATCAGTGTGGTTGATGCACCTAGTGTGGCTGTAGTTGAGAATGACCTCAGTGAAGCTGATGATAGTTCTCCTCCTCCTCCTCCCACGTCTAGTTCCTTACCTACAACTTCCCTCTCCACAACTACCAATAGTCCTAGTAGTTCCATTAGTGAGAATGATAGTCCTAGTACAGAAAGAACCAGAGAAACCCAGGCCCCAGCAGAAGGGAACAGAGATAAGCCAAATCGCAGATTTGGTTTGTTTAACCGCTTCAAGACCACCACGACCACCACAGGAAAGCCAACAACCACCGTCAAAGCCGCCACCACACGTGCTCCTAGGCGACCAATTGAAGGCCTCTCCATTGTTAGTACTCTGACAGAAGAATAAGTTGCATTAACAGAGGTCTAGGGTTTATCATGCAATGGTATTAAAAAACTTGCAAATAAGAGTAAAGTATTTTTTCAATGCAGGTATAAGTAGTGCTTATTTCACTTCATTGTAGATGGGTCAAAAGTTTTTGTTAACTACAAGCAGGGAAATATTTGTTAAATACAGTAGAATTAAAAGGAAGATGATTTTCAATTTGAACAATTCTCAGCTTGATATCAGTTATTCTACAGAAAAAAGTAATTAAATAAAAGTCACACTAATGTATTTCCCTGGATTGTAAAACATATATTTTTTGTACTTCTACTATATTTACAATACTGAGAAGAAGTAGAGTATTGTATTTGATTTTATACATTTTGATTTTACACTAATTTCTTCTGATTGAAAAATGGATGGAAAAAAATATAACCAGACACATTAAGCAATAATCATTTATGGTGAAGGTTTATCTAATTAATGTGACATATTTGAAATATTGATTTTAATAATAAACAATTTCTTTAAACACATTGCTTGCATTTGCTGGTGGCGGACTTATAAATGATCTGCATGAATATACCTTTAAGCAGGAGTCGGATCCACTAAAGATAAGTACAGCATCGGAAAGGGTCTGGTATGGCTCACTGGTCTTCAGGTGATCGTCCAAGTGGGAAAAGGAAAAAGGAAAAGGTTTTCCCTACAGTTTCTTATAATGAAGGTGGTGTTTGGTTTGGATGCATGGATGGAATGTGGCGTGAAAGGTCTTGCATTTCATGTGGAAAGTTGCATGTCTTTGGAACATATTTACTTTTGATATTTTGAAATATTATTTTTTCTTTCCTTTTTTTTCTTTCATATTTTTGGTGCTGGTTTACATGATTGATAGTGGTTTCATATATCATACATTATTAATTGCCTATCCCTCTTGATTAATCTTTCTAATACTTCTACAATTATTAAAATTTGCTCTTTCAAGTTAGCCTTTCTAATGCTTTTGCTGTTACATTTAGTGCCATTTCATTACCATTATTCCTTTTCTTATAGTTGCTGTCAGAATTAAGAATACAGATTCCATACGTGAATAACTTGTATCCTTAATTTTTATTGTCAACTGTACAAAAATCCAAGAATGGGGTGGATAAAGAATTACTGATTGATATTACCAATACCTATATAAATTGACCAGAATGTAGACACCACGATACAGTGATTTTATTTACTTTTTAAATATTTTCCAATATAACTTCAGTGCTAAATATTCCTTCTATTGTTCAGGCTGATAACTTGGTTATTGGGATAATTATGACTATAAACTAGATCCTAAATTGGAAACATTGTCATAACCTCTCTGTAATATGCTACACATTACATTTTATTATGCTAAACATATCAGATAAAGCCAGAAAACAACCCAACAATGTAAAGTAAAACATTATGCCATAATAGCCATGATGCAGAACAGATTTACTAATGTATTTTTTAAATAACAGATATCCCAGAGTCTGCAGCGTTCCAAGGAGGACATCTACCTCGGCTGTGGCCAGATAAAGGGCTGCTTTGGCTTCCCGTCCGGCTGCGAAAATGACCTGAAGTATGTTATCAACGTGCTGAATTATATTTAGGCAATTTCTTATAGATTATTGAAAATATATGGATATTTCTTCAAGGAATTCTTAACTGTAACTGAAGTGGAAATAATATTTCATCAGTTTTGTGTAACAGAACGGAAAAATATGGAAAGAACTTTATGTAACAGGGTTGAAATATATTCATGTGTAACTTAGTGGAAATACATGTTGCTGATTAATTAAAATATTTATTGCCAATTTTATGTATTGAAATAACATTTGTTGCCCATCATATGAATACTGATGGTCCAAAGAAGCCTTAATGCTTATGGAAATCTAAAACTATCTTCATTTTCTCCCACAGCTGTAATATTTTGATGACTTACACAAGAGTAGCAACAGGATATCAGTTTGAGATCCTTGGAAAGGCCAGTACAACCAGCTATGTTGCTGCTGCTCTTTCAGATGATGAAAAGATGGTAAGAATTCATGGTTTCAGATGCTTGTTTTTGATTAGTGTTATTGATTTCTTTTTTTTCTGAAATGGAAAGGATATAATGCCAATAGTAAGTCCTGGCTCTTCCATATTCTTCATTATTTTTATCTTCTTCCTTCTTCTTTGTCTGTGTCTTTTTCTCCTCCCTCCCTCCCTCCTCCCTCCCTCCTCCTCATTCTCCTCTTCTCTCCTCCTCCTCCTTCTCCTCCTCTTCTCCTCCTCCTTTTCCTCCTTTCCTCCTCTTCCTCCCCTCCTCCTTTTCTCCTTCCTCCCTTCCCTCCCCCACCCCCTCCTCCACATCTCCCCCCTCTCCCTTCCTCCACCATCCTCCTCCTCCCTCCCCTCCCCTCCTCACCATCTCCTCCTCCTCTTCCTCCTCCTCTGCAGCTATACTAACCACATTTTTTTGTAACGTCTTATTCTTCATCTTAGCCACATTTATAATTGTATCCATTGTATTGTCCTCTCTCCCCCAGGGCTCGGACAGTGTGATGGCCTGTAGAAGTCTCAACGGCGAAGTAGATGTGCTGATGGCTTTTAATAATGGAAAGAATAATGAACTGCTGACTAATGTGAGGAGACTTTTCTTCCATTTAGTTTGATTATATTAAGATGTTAATGTTATTGATTTGATGTGGGAGTTTGAAACGATAATAGTTTGCGATTTCTAACAAATACAAGGTGTTTCTAGATTATTTTGAGTCTTTTCTTGTAAGATGTAAAAGTTGTATAATACTATTCATAATATGCTTACATATTGTATTACAGAAGTTTGATATAAATATCTTTGATGGTAGAACTCCGAAGGTCTAAAAAAATTTACAGTAAGTTTGCAACTGAAGAAAAGGTAAATATTTACTCATGAATAAAAACTAACCTTTTCTTTGCAGAGTAAATATGGACTTAGTGATGTCAAGACATTACAGTCTGATGGAGAACTCTATTGTTCATTCATTCGGCAAACGATCACAGAAATTAAAGGAATAACTTTTGATCTGTCTTCCGACCGTTACCATTTGATGCTGGCGAGAGGCCCAGCTTTCGAGAGTGAGTTACCTTTCTTAGCCTTTCCTTTTTACAGTAGATCCTCAAAGTATCTAAAAGATAATGGGTTGTGCAGTATAAAAGGGTGGATGATATTATTTGATACATGTTGCTTGTAGTGGCAACTGATGTTAGGCAAATAGTTAGAGAATGTAATCCACCATCCCAGATTATTCTTTGTACATGGCTTTTGTTCTAATTGTCAGAATTGGTGTAGTAGTTATTGATAGGATTTTCTGTCCATACTTTCATAGGTCATTATGTAGATAAGACATTTTTCTTCTTTATATGTAAGATTTTTTTTCTATGATAGAAAGAACTATACGTAGACATTATTTTCATTGCTATTGGCTCTTAGTGCAAGTGATTGAATAGTTCTTGTTATTTAGTGCTCATTTCTGATGTGTATGTATTTGGATGTAATTTTTCATATGTATTCTTTTTGTTAATGCTGTCATTACTGTTTTTTTAACTTGATGAAAACAGATCTTAGTAAAAGTTAACTCATAACAAATCCTAATGTTACAGATGGATTACGTTACCACGACAATCGCTTGGTCTCCTCTGGCACTTCTTCCCTGAGTGAATTTGAGTCCCTGGAAGCTGCAAGTGAATTGTTCAAGACTCTGCATGCCTGTTTCATGATTGGTGCTTGGATATGTGCAGCTTCATGTGGCATCATCTTGGCTCGCTATTACAAGCAGACTTGGTTGAGGAGCCGTTGCTGTGGCATTGATCAGTGGTTCCATGTACGTTTCAAATGTCCCGAAAATTCTATGAATATGAATATATTAGCTAGTAAAAGAAAAAATGCAGTACCATCCTTAAAGGGATTGAGTTTGTATGTTTCTTCAGTGTCGAAGGGTGTTCTTTGTCTTTCTTTTACAAAAAAATGTTTAGGTTAATGATGGGAACATTATTAATTATTGATATGAAGTCATACCTCCACCTCCATTAAAGAGGAATGAGGAATATATCTGAAGCAAAATTTCTGAAAACAAATGACTGAGTGCATTTATCCATCATGTCTCATCAAGGAGGCACATAAGCGGATCAGCTAATCTTTACATGCTAGTGTAGTAAATAAACAATTATAGGGAGAACAGAAAACACAAGATAATGTATAATCTTTCTTTTGATTCTTTGTTCTCCTTACACCTTTGTTTAAGGAATCCTCCAGACTAGAGCAGATACTGATACTCTGCTATCTTTTATTTTCAGTTCCACAGATTTTTCATGGGACTGACATGGGGTCTCACAATCGCTGGAGTCGTACTTATTGCCTATTATCTTAAGGGATGGACAGAGCTTGATCCCAAAGTAAACCCACATGCTATACTTGGTATTGTCTCAACTGGTGAGTTATCTTCTGCACGGAGAATTAGTTCATTAGTTCTGATATTTTATGTGAAGAGTGAAGCTATTTCCCAAACAGCCCTAGTCATTATTTTCCTAGTTTGTAATCTACTTCTTCAATTCCAGGTTTGTGTTTCATTCAACCATTCATGGCTCTATGTCGCTGTGCCCCAACTCACCGAAGGCGTCCCGTCTTCAATTGGCTTCACTGGTTTGTTGGCAACAGCGCACAGATCATTGGTATTACAGCGATCTTCTTTGGGCTTGAGTTGGTCAATGCTCCTTCTTGGACCATGTTCATTCTGATCATCTTCATTGCTTTCCACTGCATCATGCATCTTATTTTGTCGGTAAGTTATTGCTTTCAGATGCTGTGTGGTTAACTTACAGCTGAAGTTATTTGTTGCTTTGGTTCCAATCCTGTTTTATTTTACTTTAGATAATTATAGCAGCTAGAAGTTGAAATTTTACACACACAAGTTGCTTTTGTGCTTTTTCAGTTTTAGCAATCTAGTTTGCTACACTTGAGGGGCAATGTACTGTACATACAGAAAAATCACATAACCAAAACAATGACAAAAGAGTCTTTGTAAAAGGAGGGTTTACTGCTTGTATGACTGAACTATTTTCACAAGTATTTTTAGTACTGGTAGCATTAATCATTAATTTTAAAAAGTAGATTAACCCATTGCACTGGGATGGTATAGGCATACATGCAATGTCCAAGATGATTTTAGCTTATTAATCTTGTTCAAAAGATACATAGCTCACAAGTGCTTAGTCACCAAGAGACCAACTAGTCCTCTCTATCTCATCTGTTAACCTTTTTCCTTATTTTTTAGCAAGAATAGCATTTTCTTTTGTATAGCCAATAGTATTGCCAATAATATTGTTACTAATATAATAATAATCATAATGTCAATAATAATATCAACAGTGTCAGTATCAATTGCACTATAAAAATAGGCTTAACCAGAAAATTAAAGGAATGGGGAAATCAGCACTTTTTGAGCCATCTGTGTATAATAAGGCCGATAAAACAGAACTACAGTGCATAGTACATGTATCGGTTGCCAGTGGGTCAATAAATCCAATACTGCATCAAAATCATAAAAAGACAATAACTTTCGTCATGATCAAAGTGATCCACACTTTGTTTTTTCTATTCCTTTTTTTTGTCAAGATTTAAGAGAATTCCTGTTAATATATATTAATGGTGTCTTTGCACAGATTGGACAGTGTGTTAGCGACTCGAAGCAAGAACGTAGGAACAACGTATTCCCAATGAAGGAAATGAACGGCAGTCGAAACCCACTGCACCCTGTGGAGAAAAGGACAGATGCTCCAGTGAGTATGAGATGTCTTATTGAGATGCTTTTGTTAAATCCTCCTTTTTGTACCTCTACTACAACTGTTTGTAATAAATTGAATGATAATATTTTAATTGATAAGATATGTTTTGTATTGTAGCAGCATTTTAAGTAATATATCCTTATTCCTGTAAGGATTTAATGAATACTTGCATTTCACTTTTTAGGATTATATTGTAATACAATTTAAGATTCTTTTTTTCTTGCGTTCCAGGGTGCTACATTCCGCAAAGCAATGCTGGCTCTGTACTTCATTGTAAATTGGCTGATCACCGCACTTCTGATTCTCATTGTTGTCGTGGGGGAAGACCAGTTGAAGAAATGGAATTGGATTTTCTGGGAGGATTAGTAAAATCTGTCCGTTTTGCGAATTAAATCAACGTCCAGATCTTCAGTGTAGTAAAATTTTTATTCATCTTTTCCTGAATGGTTAACAGACATGGCTGTATTATGGGCTCGCAGTTAGGTTTTATTTTAAAAGGTTGTAACTATGTTTGTTTGTTTTCTTCATTTTTGAGACTGGAATGAATTTTCCACATCTTTTGTATATCAGATTTTAGCAGTCTAGGAGTGATTATATTTAATAAAAATGATGTAAGAGTCAATATTTTACTACAGGCAACAATTTTGTTATTGTAAATACAGTCAGCAAGTAACTGTTGAAAATGCTTTAGTAATTGTAGGTACTAGGATATCTAGAGGATGTCACTGTAAGATATATATTTCTCTCATGCACACACACACACACACACACACACACACACACACACACACACACACACACACCACACACACAACACACACACACACACACACACACACACACACACACACACACACACACACACACACACACACACACACACACACTCACACTCACTCACACTCACACTCACACTCACACTCACACTCACACTCACACTCCCTCCCTCCCTCCCACCTCCCTCTCCCTCTCTCCCTCCCTCCCTCCCTCCCTCCTCCTCCTCCTCTCTCTTCCCTCCTTCCCTCTCTCCCCCATATGCTTAAATCATTCACACCTGGTCACACATGCGCACACTTATTGCGCACACATTTATGCACTAACACTCCCATACTCACATTCACAATCTCCCTCATCCTCTTTCCCCCTCTCTGTCACCCTCCCCCCTCCTAATCCATAATCCCTCTCCCTCTCCCTGCTCACACTCTCTCTCGCAGATTAAATCATTTTTCTTATCTCATCCACTCCTTTGAAGAAGCGATTGTCCACATTTTGAAATAAGACACTAAAACTTGTGCAATACAGCCCAGATTTTTATACAGCAATTTCTGAAACCTTGTCGTTTTTAGGTAATAGATGAAATCTGATTTTTAAAAAAATTCTGTATGTAGATTTAAGTACAATTTTTATGAAAAAAATAAATTGTCATTAGTAACATGAAGGTTACTAATTATATATCTGGATAAGCTGTGTAGGTATTGCAACATCGGCATTATGCTTTGCACACATTTCTTTTTGAAGAATTTTATATGCATCCGTTTTTATACTTTTATTTTTTGCTAATGCAGTCGTAAATGAGACTGCTTTTGAGAAATGAATAATCTTTTTGAAAAATTCTTCACTCAGATATCTTGAAACTGATGAGATCCAAAAAAGATTATTTGTTTCTCCCGCAGAATTTTTGCTGCATTGTCAGGTCTCATGAAATCAAATATTTCACGTTTTGATTATGGAGGGTAAATACTCATTTGAGATAATTATGTTTTTATACTTTCTTATTTTTCCAAATATTTCAGTTGCATTATTTATTATGTTTTGCAAATGGTTGTCTTACATTTGCTCAGGTATGATTGTAGATTGTATATGTTGTAAAAGAAATAATTATTTTAACAAACTATTATGTTAAATTGTGTAAATGGCTAGAAAAAAATGTCTAATAATCAAGATATTCTGTCGAACAATCCAGAAATGAAAAGAAAAAAATTATTTAATGTAAATAGGAGAATCACAACACTTAACCATTATAATGCTAATTGTATTAGTATCACAATATTCCATAATTGTCTTGTGTGTGAATTATATGTAATGTACACAAAAAAAAGTCCAGTAATGTAAATTTCCTTGTACACCATCTGTGGAGAGATGTTTTTATTCTAAGGTTTTAAGATGGTATGGAAATTTATTTTGCTGACAATTTACAATAAAAGTTTGTCCCTCACTTCAGTGTTATTTTTTCCTACAGTCTTATGCTATTGATACTACTGTTACATTATGCCTACTTCTGTTAGCTTTTTAATTCAGTTTCAAGACACCGTCAGACTTGTTGATTCTGACTTTAGTTTACGGTAATTCCAAAGTAACAAGCTGCTTTTTTCTTAACAAAAAGCAATCCCCCCCAAATCCTATACCCCTTGTTGCCATGGGGGGGGGGCATGGGGGAAATGAGATGAAGACTGAGACCCAGGATCAGCCCCACCTTGGGCTTCAGCCCTCGACTCAATAAATTTTACTTGTTTCTTTCCCTATCCCCTTTTTGTTTCCCTCTTTTCTCCGACCCCTTCCACAATCCACTTCCTAAGGTGTGAGAACTGTGTTGAAAGGATAAAAGGGTGACTTTGTGCTAATCACAAGCGGCCTAAGGGAACCATGTGCAGGGTATTCTTGTTTAGTTGTCTAGCCCTAAACCCTCAAGGGAACCCTGAGTGGTGGATTATTTCTCTCCCCTACATACTTTAGGCTTTAGGCTCCCAGTTCCCATACCCCAGGCTCTTTGGCCACAACTCTGAGCACTATTATTGCTACCCCTTCCTCAGTGCCTACATCAGTCCAGTCCAAATCATCCATCCAGGTCAGTACTCAATCTCCAGGAAACATTCCTCCTCTCCCAACATCCACTACTTTATCTCCTCCACCCCCACAACTTTCTTCATTAACTCCCCCACCTTCGCTTATTATTACTCTAACTTATGGACTATGATGCTAGTATCAGTACAGTGCTACACCATTCCTTCTAGAGGCCATGGTAAGTCCCCTGCCAATATTGCCAAGATTACTTTCTGTACATATGTCCTCCCTTTTAATGTTTACATTGACGGAGAATCCCTCCCTGTCCGACCACATCAACCTCCCCCCTACACCAATGTCAATACTGTTGGCATCTAGGCCACCCAAAAAAACACTGCCGTTCTACAGTTCCATGTGCCTTTTATGTGCCAACCTGGTCATAACTGATCAAACTAGTCTGCACAGTCATGCATGTGTGCCAATAGTGGCCTCTCCCATAATGTCTTTTATAGGGGCTGTCCTGCTTGCAAGTTGTCTGAATTGGCAACTCGAATTCAAACTTAGCATCACTTTACGCAAAGCCAGACAGGACAATAATGTCCTACGCTCTACCCTTCCCTTTCCTCTCAAGATGTTTCTACATCTCCCCCAGTACCTCTTCCTTATTACACTTCTAACCCTTCCTCTCCCAGTCATTTTTTTTCTTTTTCTAAATTCAAACACTAGAATTTCCACCACTATTCCAGACTCCAATCACGACTCCCCGGGTTCCTTCCCCTTTTCCTCCTCGCCCAACTCATCGCACATGGCAAGCTAAATCCTCTACCTCATATTCTCCCTCCATCCCTCAAACATCTGTCCCCTCTTTTCCCCCTTCATAAGAAAACCTTTACTTCTCAGACCTCTCCAACTAACTCCACTTCAGAGACTCTCGAAGACATTCATAACTAGCTAATCATGACCCAAGATAACAGGACCACATGTGCATCCTCCAATCTATCTGCTCCCATTCCTCATACACTCAAGGTAACTACCGACTGCCATCCTCCTCATACTACCCTTACACCCCTTCCACTCACTCACTCCCAACACATCCCATTCCTTCCTGCTTCAGCTGCACCATCCCCCTTCCCTTCTCAATACCCCCCTCCCTCCCCATTATCCCTTCCGCTTTCCATGGAACTGACACTTTGTCACAACAGCCATCTTCCCTGGATTCTGTCCCTCCTGACATTTTTCCTGAATCTGTGATGCAATCACCTTTCAATCCCTTTTCTTCTTAGCTAATCCTTACCCTACCCTACATCCACCCTTACAAAATCCCTCACCTTCCTGAACTGCTACACGACGTCTGACGTGTAGCACATTCTCATTCATACCTATCTACATACATACATACATACATACATACACACACACACACACACACACACACACACACACACACACACACACACATATATATATATATATATATATATATATATATATATATATATATATATACATACATATGTATCAGTGAATAGATTGAGATTGCAATTATTTACTAAAGTGAAGGGTAAGAGAGGGAAATCATGAAGATTAAAAGGAAGGGGAATGATTTATTTATGTCCAAGTAAAATCACTGAAGGATACTGGCAGTACAGGTGAGGGTCCCAATTTCGTCTCATATATATTTTAATTTTGTTTATGTTTATGATTTACATTACATACTATGCCACCTGTTTATTATCATTTGTTTATTCAATAAAATGCTAATGGTTAGAAATATTTCTATTGTATATTTGGCACACACTAAACAGAGGAATGAATTCAATCCATCCACGAGCATTAAGACGGTTAAAATCCCGCTCCCCAAATCAAAATTGATACTGGAAAGATGAGCAAAAGTAATTTTATTTAGAATTCAATATTTCATATGAAAAACTTCATTGAGATACATATATACATACATACATACATACATACATATACATATATATATATATATATATATATATATATATATATATATATATATATATATATATATATATATATATATATATATATATATATATATATATATATATATATATATAATATATATATATATATATATATATATATATATATATATATATATATATATATATATATATTATATATATATATATATATATATATATATATATATATGTGTGTGTGTGTGTGTGTGTGTGTGTGTGTGTGTGTGTGTGTATATATATATATATATATATATATATATATATATATATATATATATATATATATATATATATATATATATATATATGTATGTATGTATGTATGTAGTATGTATGTATATATGTATTAAGAATTAAACCCTACAAAACTATAAGTTGTTCTAATTGGACGTAACAGATGTATGATAAATTGAGCATTTGGTAAACATACAGAAGTTATAAGAGTTATAAAAGAAAACTGGATTATTGACACCATCCTCTGTATCACGGCAGACTGAAATAAATTGTAATAAACATGTTTTTTTTTTCCTTTCACCAACTAATCCTTATCAACTCTTAAATCACACACGCACACACACACACACGCGTGTATGTGTGTGTGTGAATATGCATACAAATCTATTTATATATCCATCAATTTATCTATATATATATATATATATATATATGGCTGTCTATATATCACTCTTTATAGATACACCCCCCCACATATATATAGATAGATAGATAGATAAATAGATAGATAGATAGATAGATAGATAGATAGATAGATAGATAGATAGATAGATAGATAGATAGACAGACAGATAGATAGATAGATATAGATAGATAGATAGATAGATAGATAGATAGATAGATAGATAGATAGATAGATAGATAGATAGATATTGATTGATTGATAGATAGAGAGAGAGAGAGAATGTGTACGCGAACATTCATGTATAATATATGTATATGCAGTTATATATATGTACACCCACCCACACATATATGTGTATTTATATATATATATATATATATATATATATATATATATATATATATATATGTGTGTGTGTGTGTGTGTGTGTGTGGTGTGTGTGTGTG